GGATACTCATTGGTTGGGCACTGCGGGGATACTTGGTGGTTGGACACTGCAAAAAATACTCTGCGGTTGGGCACTGCAGGGATACTTGGTGGTTGTTCACTAAAGTCAGCTTCCAGTCGGGCGAGGACAACATCTGCCTTAAAATCTAACAACCCCACTGCGAGGGTGGGGAACAATGTACAGAACTGTCACATGGGCCTGAAGGCTGTGGACTCTTATAGGTTGCGCCGAGACTTCGACTGCGCAGAAACTCCGCAAACACGGAAGGGTTGCCTTCACAGCTGCTCGCTCCACAGCATCCTGCACAGCACACGGTAACCGAATGACAAAGACACGGAAATACGAAGAGGCGAGAGTCGCAAACAACCAACTCCACCGGTAGAACATGTGATAACATGTGCAACCGTTGCAGGCTTTTCGAGAACTGGACCCTCGCAAGTCATGTCAGACTGGATCACTCTGTGTCACTCGGTTGGCGAACTCTTTCGCACGCATGCAGTTTAGCAGCAGCCCGGAGTTGGCTCACCGCTGACAGTTTCAAGCTCCAGTTGTTTGCGGAATCCAGAAAATGATTCCTTCAACGTCGTCAATTTCGTCTTTGTCCTTCGCAAAATCGCGTGGGCTCACTGCCCCACGACATTGGCCTTCAGCGTAGGTGTAACACTGAATGGGATCTTCTTCATATTCTTCGTAGTGGAAGTACCCGGCCGTCTCCTTGTTCTGCTTGAAGCAGTGATCCGGGGTCGGCACTTGTGTGGGATCAGTACCGCATTTCGGCAGCTTCTTCAAGTACTGCCACTTGTTTTTGCCGGCACAGGTGTTCAGGCGTGCTTTTGCAAAGAAAGCTGGGCATGCTTCGCGCTTCAGCCCTTCCATTTTGCAGCTGTCCTCGGTGCCACTATGGCGTCTAGAGCCCTCAACTTGCAGGAGCGAGTTGTCCAACTTCTTCTTCTGAATCTTCCACAGGCCCATGTCGATGCCTTCTTGTATGGACAACGGCTGCACACGCAGAAAGCCATCGTTCACCACATTGCCTTCAACTGCCCAGCCCACCTGTCCAAGGTGTGACTCATTGGCCTTTGCTGTCCACACAAGTTCTTCATCTTCACCCACGAAGGACGCGAGGCCTTCGTCATTGGTGCTCAAATCTCGATTCTTGTAGCGTTCTGCTGCCTGGCTTGACAAGACGCTTTGGCACATGTGCTCGCGAGCAGAGCCTCGGATGATGTTCTTCTCCAGGCAGCACTCCGCCTTCCAATCCGCCTGATCCTTCGCGGCATGAATTGGAAGTCTGCACCTAGCATCAGTTTTTGTTCAAACAGAAACAACATCATGACTGCTTGAGAAAATTACGACCCGGTATTGACATGCTACATGTGTGACAGCGCTTAAAAGGCTGAAACTCCAAGATCCCGCAGAAAAAAAAATATCATATCACAGAAACTTTGAGAGAGCAGGTTTTGAAATCTTCCCGGGACACACTTCGCCCCATCCCAGCCACAGCTGTCTCCGCAGCAGCCTAGGATGTGGGACTCGACCTTTCGCACCACGAAGAGGCTGCAAACCTCGCTGTAGGAGGCTTGCCGCAACTCTCCGGCCAACTGCCAGATGTCCTCACTTCGCCGTTCCAACTCCTCCACAATCTCCTCGCACTCTTCATGGCAGACATGCTTCAAGGCCTTCTGCCAGAAGGCCGTGCTGCCGTTGCCCTTTGCAATCCTTGCCTTCTTCGCATCCTCCAAGGCTTCTACACATTGGTCTTTGCCCAACAACGAGACAGAGAGCTGGAACCCAGCCTCACTCCAATCATGAGCGTTTTTCGAAGGGTCAAACTCCGACATCCCATCAAGATCCTTCAGGAGGTTGACCTTGCTGGTTCTCGGTGGTGAATAAGGGAATATAATCCCTGTATAACCCCTATATGATCTATTCCCTTACTACCTACTAAGAACCAGTAAGTGACGCAAAAGTCAACAGCAGCAATGCGGAGCAGATCATCGTCTTCAGGCAAGGGCTGCTCTTCACGATCGCGGTCGAAATCCACGCATGTGCAATTCACAGCCCAAAGCTGCATGTCTGGGAACATGTGTAATTCGTCAGGTGGATAAAATTCGTGCTTTGGAAAAGGAGTCAAGCAGCTGTCACTCATGTACTCGTAGGTATGCTTCTTGTAAATTGGACAGTGGCATTCATTGCCTGTTTCGTTAAACGAAGCCCCCCAGAAGGAGCATCGATCCTTGAAGCGGCCACCGTGCTTCATCTTCCACGCTTCCAACTTCTCTTTCGGGG